AAATACTGCAGCACAGGGTCTACTGTCCTCTCCAAGTCGGCTTCACATCAGCGTCCGGTTGTCTGACTACTCCTTAATGTCTTTACAACAAAGCAGATACGCATGCAATGAAGGTGCTCGGTTTGCTGTTTCGCACTCAACCCCCCCACCATTGCTTCACGCGATTTTCTCTTTTGAGTTTTTAAGTGAAAGCAGGGACTAAGACGGAGTAAGCAACGTAAGATTGGCTATGCAAGACCTGCAGGCAAACTGCAGAGGCAGCATCCAAGCTCTCCCCAAGTACTGCCCTCCCGAGCCACCCTGAATGCACCAGCTCCAGCTCACTGCTTTGCAGCCTGTGCCTCGACTCGGTGCCCTCTCACCACTCACACAAGAGCTTTCCATCAGAGGTCAGATCCTCTAGAGAGAAGACGTGCCTAGCACTGCTCCAAGAAAGGACAACCTTGTCCCTGAATGCAGGCCAAGCTGAGGAAAGCCGAAGCATTTCGCATCATCTCCCACGCCACGCACAGCTCCTGCTGCCCTGCTGAGCAGTAGGGAATTCTCCAGATTTCAGCAGCTGCTGGATGTGAACGGCCTCTGGGGGAAAGGAGGGTCACAGACCTGCTACGGCTGAGTTTGTCACCTTTCAGACCTAGTTACAGCACGGCTATAACAAGGCGATGGAGCTCAGCACTACTTGGAGAGGCTCAAGTAGGTGCAGTCCACGAGCTCTCCTTTTCCCTAAGGAAGGGAGGGGAGGGTACAAGGCACAAATTGAAACGGGATGAAAGCCATCCGCTTGAAGATAAGCGAACATCTTTAGTTCTTAAGCTGAGGAAGTGAGTTTGAAGGAATAAGCAAGCCACGGCGTGGTCCAAATGCTTTGGTCATTCATCTAGTTGAAGACTGATTTGGCCGAGCAGCCCCCGACGCGAGGCTGGCTCAGAGGCCAGAGCTCGCAGGTGGCAGTTTCTTTATCAGAAACAACACAACAGCACGGGTGCTTGCACTCCAAATCCCAGTCAGACACAGAAAGCTCCGAGGGACTTCCAATATTCCACCGCTAATTAATACTGCTGTCCCTAAACCATTCTTCCCCACCCAGTTTGCATTAATGCAAGTATTTACAAAACAGTCAGAAGCCTTTAGAGCACAGGATCCAGCTTTATAGCAACATTTCCAAGTTCACAAAAAAAAATCATGTACTTTCCTATGTATACGTATAGCAGAAACAATCAGAAAAGCCTGTCAAAACGGGCAGCCAGAAGCATCCTAATGGGCTTTGCAGCTGATTTCAAGTCCAGGTTCAGCGAGTCTGGAAAGGACTTGCAACACTCCCTGCAAAAGGTGGAGCTGAAACAGCATCAGATTTGGAAAGTAAATCCACACAAGAAACAAACAAAAACACACCAGGCTTTGTGGTCTAGAGGTCAGATCATTGTACATGCAAGTATCTCCCAAACACTAACATTACCGACACATTTTTTTCATTTTTCAAGCATGAAACTGCTTCCATCTTCATTTGAATGCAGCTGCACTCTGAAACCAGCCCCACAGCAGCTCAGACACCACAAGATCATGATGGAGACAGAGAAATAAAGGGAGGGTAACAGGCCAACTGCTCCTCATCTCCTGGTAATGCTCCAGTCACAGCCTCACCCAGCCTCGCTTCACACAGCTCAGCCCGCTGAGGGACTCCTCATGCACACATTTTTCCTGTATTTCACATCTTTCATCGCCAACAATTGCGCTGTCAGTTATCGAGCTGCTCATTAGCCATCGCGTTCATCTCCTCTCATCGAAGACCCTCCCTTCAGCACCGACCTGGCCTGCCTTTCAGCCACCTCATCCCTGCTCCCCCGGGGTAATTCCCATCAGCGGGCACCCTTACAGCACCAACTGCTCCCTTTCCAAAACGCCAAGCAGGAGCTGAGGCCCGAGGGGCAGACGCACGAAACAAAGCCAAAGATGCTCAGCGGCTGCACTGCAGGCGATGGGAGCTGGGAGCTCACCGGGCAGGTCAGGGAACAGCCCCTGCGCATGGGAAAGTCTGGGGGCACCTTTTAGTACGTTTTGATGTTGATTAAGGCTCTTCCTGTAATGCCAAAACCCAAACCTTTCAGTAATGACAAGGACTGACCTCCACAAAGCCCCTTCCTCATTAAGAGGGGGGCTTTGCCAGCAGCTTCTTGCACTGTGCCACGTTCCCGTGGTGCCCCCCAGTCTCCAAAGGGAAGAGCTCACTGCTAAGCAAGGCTCGACTCACACCCCCCTGTGCTTGTGTTTCACAGCTATCACCTACGTTAGCTCTTTATCACTCTAGAAAAAGCAGAAGCATAATATCATTAAGGTATTTATTAATTATCTCTGTGGCAAGATCCTATGCCTGGTAGCTGCTATCGAGCCAAAGGAAGCCGAGGAGCTCTGCAGAATGGTAGCAGCTGGAAAAACGGCACCAAGGCTCCCTGTGGCCATGCACAAACCACAACCCACGACACGTTCTGTAACTACCAGGTGTGAAAGGCAACGTTTCCAGCAGTGCACATCCATGGGGATTTTTCTGGAACAAGCAGAGTCCCGTGTCCCCCAGCCGTGCTCAGACAAGACGGAGGCCACAACGCCGGCGCACCTCTACCTCCACGCTCTGCTGCTGTCCTGAGGTAAGGGGAAAGTCACTGAACGCCCGTCAGACCCCAACGCACTGTGCAAAAGTTTATGCAAAAAGCATGTGTCTGCCTTCAGTTTCAATCACGCAACAGCGCTCCTTGGAAAAGTCTTGGCACTCACCACGTTAATATTAAACTACTTTAAATCATGCATTCAGGTACAGGTTCATAAATATCTGCTGTACACGTTTCCTCTCTCAGAGAAGCCATTCCATTTCCATCCTCCAAGGAATGGTCTCATTCACAACCTGGAGAGAAGAAAGCCTGTCATACTCAACTGGAGGGGGGGAGGCAGAAATAATAATAATAATAATAAAAACCACACTGACAAACGCAGTACACAGCTCTGCATGGTGACAGAAGACTGAGAGAAGTCCGAACTGTACAGTAATTATCGACACACACAGGACGACACGTTATGAATCCGGAATGCCACACTAAAATAACTCCTGTAAACTGATTTACAAGTGCCACGAGAACTGGAGAAGTCTCAATGTGCATAGACCAGGATTTTAGTTCACCAGGTATTTACCATTCCAGAGCCTGAAAAATGCTGGGACCTTATTTTGCTCTCAGTGCAATCCGGGCGAGTCCATCACATTACACTGATGCAAAGGAAGTTTGAATAAACATTGCAGAGTTTATTTTTGGAAATATTACTTAACGTTGGCTCATTTTAAAAGCTGACTTTTGAGTGAGTTATAAAATGCTTCCTTTATTCTGCAGTACTAGAATTTAAGCCCTTAAATCTTCCCTCTATGAAAGCGGATTGTCAAAAGTTCTGACACACCAAAAACCACAGGACTGCAGTCCTCAGCAGCAGCACCACGACACTATTGCAACTGTTGGAAATGGAGTTCACTTGCATTGCGGTCTAGCAACTCCGTCCAACTGGACGGGACAAGTACAGCCCTCAACTGGAAGGAAGACAAAGATGTCAGCATTCAAAGTAATCGTTCTGTGCAATGAAGTCATTGCAATTTTTTGTTCCTGCAGTCAGAAGATAACTCAGGTATTTATATAAAAGTTAGCGTCAGGTTTCTCTAGGAAAAAGCCTTGCATGGATTTCTACGAACACGTTTTCTCACCCAAGCAAAATTCAGCTCTACAAATGTCACTACACTACAGCAGGTCAGTTCAAAGAAACTCTGCATACAACAATGCTTCGAGCCTCTGCCCCTTCACGCTGGTGTTGGGGAGTGCCAACACACTTTCTTTCAGAGCCCAACTTCTGAGCAAGGCTGCCTGAAGCTGGCAGACAACGCCACGAGCTGTGCTCCAGAACTGCTTTAGCGAGAGTGTTCAACTTGACCAAAGCACCTCTGAAGAAAAGATTCTTCACTTTCTAGAAAACCGGGCAGAATTCTGGAAGCAGTCCTCTCTCAGCTGAGGTCTTGCTGTAACACTACATTTATGGTGAAAAATAGAAGAGCATTCACGTTAACGGGCAGTACCACTGAACCAAATCCATTTTCAATTCGAGGTGGTGCAGCTGCACGCAGCTCCAGGCTTTAAGCTCATCACTCCAGCACTTGTCCTGACATTGTGCAAGAGAAGCAAGTGACAGACTGTCAGTTCAGGGTTTGACTTTGCATTTTCTTGCTTCTTTGGACTAGTATATTACTTCTATTTGAAAACTACTTGACTAGTTTAACAGATTTGTACAGTTCTTGTAAACATTATGAGAACACACTGCTGCACGCACACAGTAACCAGTTTCAATTAATAACCTGAATATTACGTTGCATTTCTTCAAAGCTAAAAAGAGCTCATCCACGTTACGGATCAGTAACACAAAATCAAACAAAGAGTTTAAACCCAAGAAAATCAAGTTTAGCACAGATATTAAATGTTCAAGTAGATTAATTAAAAAACATACGGTGAAAAAATTCAGCCCAGAGCAAATTCAACATTCCCTTAAAGAGGACAATTCATGGAGTGGAAACACAAAGCCCTTAATTCTAGCTGCATCACAGGGAATTCTCACATAAGCTGCTCTTTTAAATCCAAAGAAGCATTTCTCTCTGATACAAAATTTTTAAGCTCACACATTATCGATTAAGTTAATGCCCAAGTGTACCGTTCTGGTAGAACCATGGCAGAAAAAAAAGAGACATCTTTCAGGTAAAATGCAATTGTATGAAGTTTGATTGAATCTTGGCAACATTTTCAGAAGATTAAGATAACTTACAAGTTACTACAAACCCTAGACATGCTGCCATATCGCACTTTGGAGCCAACCAAAACAAAACAGGAGATTACTTCACCCTCTCACACGGCAAGTTTCCAGGAGGACTTCAGGGAAATCCTCTCTGCTGAGGAGCAGGAACAGTCTGAAAGTACGGGCCAGCATGGAGGGACCAAAAGATTCAAAGCTTTATTTCTTTTAATAAAGTTAACAGTAAAACAAAATTCACAAGCCTTTCCCTCCCCGAGCTGGTTTCCTCTTCACACACAAAAGCACACAAAACAGAGGTCTCCAACCGAGAAAAATGAAACTGCTCTAAGTACAATGAGACATGATGAAGGAAGGAGTCTAAAGTATGTCCGTATTCAAGGCTAAAATAAGCAGATCAGGTATGTGTGTTTGTTTGTTTTTAGCCAAACTGGAAAAAGAAATTTCCAGGCCCAGAAGCTGAAAAAGAAAATGGAAGATATTAGCACTTTCAAAGTTCAAAGGCAACATGGTTAAACACCATTCTGCAGTAGCTGGATGCCAGGCCAGCACTTAACCCAAACAAAACCATTTGGACAAGTGGGAGAGATTTTAGCTATGATTTCCAGCAGCTAAATTCCAACAGGTAAGAGTGGATTACTGGTAATAAAGGGAAAGGAGGCCTGGAGACAAATTTACAAGGATGAAGGTAAATGGGACACAAACCATGCAAGACTTTCCAAAATTCACTTAACAAAAGACATTATGGAACACAAAATTCCCTAAGGGGCACACTGATATTAGGTAAGTGCTGAGACCTTGCTTGGTGCTGTATAAAACCGTCTTACTCCACCATGTGTGAAGAAAGCCTGACCACACTTGAGGTTTGAAGGGACATGAGCAACAGCTCCTTCACTGCCTCCACTCACCTCAAACTGTCTGAAGGCAGAGACCCTCAGGAGGATTCAGTCTTACAAATGTTGAAGGAGAGAGCTGTGTGACACATATGCACAGGACTTCTGACCAAGAACTGCCTTTTTTTGTTGAGCAACAGGAACTGTATCCGAGCTATGGTCAACTACTTACAAGCAGTAAACACCACTCAGAGAGCCCATGCCTACAGGCTACTCGAAAAGGGAACCTTTTGAACATAAAAACTAGAACCAGCCATCAGCTGGGATGCTGTGCAAGGCCTTCCAAGAGCTTGCAGACACTTTTATGTAGAAAAGCCAAATTCTATTTTCAAACAGCACATCAAGCTTGGGGAAACTTGGCCGTCCTGTCAAGCTATTTGTGTACTTACCACTTCCAAAGCTAACAGTAGGACACTTCCACCTACCTTCAAAACTGAAGCCACCTGGCCCACCGAAGAAGGCCTTAAAGATATTATTTGCATCGAAGTCTACAGGGAAGAAAAGGAAGTCGTAAGATGAAGTAAAACAGATGGTTACAGCTTACAGTTTAGAAACTGCTTCTTAATTGAAGGTCCATAAAGCATTTTTTAAATGGACAAAAAGCTGTAAGCAAATAGCTGGCTTTGTCCACTATAATGCAGCAGCAGAGAGCTCTGCTATACTGTACTACAGCACATTATGGGGCTACTGACTGGCAGAAAACAGGTAAAAACAACAGCTGTGAGACAGTTCCAGTCATGAGAGCAACCTAACAACTCTGGATAAGCAATATTTTGGACCAAAACCTTTCTGTGATGTGATTTTACATTGCCTACGAAAGACAGAAGCTTCTGCGTAATGGTACCTACTATCCAACAGCTCTGTCAAAGATAATCTGGATTATATGGCACCTATTATCTGCAGCTTCAAATAGTCATTGCATATCTGCCATTCAAATACTTCTGCAGACCAAGCCAAGCCACTTCACAGGATTATTACAATTGAGAGGTCAAGAACTGCCAGGCTGCTTTAGAGGAGAAGGCAGACTAAACGGTCTAATCTTTTTAAAGGCTGCTACTATAGAATACCATAAATACTTACCACCCATGTTCAATCCATCCTCTTCTAGATCTTGTCCACTATCATAGCGGGCCTTCTTCTTGGGATCTGACAGGATGGTAAAGGCTTCACCAACTTCCTTAAATTTCTTCTCCTCTTCCTTCTGTACTTCTGCACTTGCTCCACTGTGTCGGTCTAGTGATATAAAAACAAGCAGGAAAGAAGCTTTGAGTTTCTAGTGTAAATGGAAAATACCACAAATTTCCAGCTGCTACCACAGACTTATTTTAGATTTCTAGCGTCAGAAAACTTGTGTGTCCACGAATTCCCTCTCCTATTTATACTTGGCTGTAAGTGATGGTTGTGGGGAGAAGGGATGTACATGGGAAGAGGGATAAAAGCAACAAATACATGCTCGAAGACAGCCTGTTTCTGCATACCTGGATGATGCATTAGTGCTCTTTTCCTGTAAGCCTTCTTGATCTCATCTTCAGAGGCATTTTTGTCAACCCCAAGGATTTTATAGTAGTCTTTCCGTTTGCTCTTTTTCAGTTCCACCTGTGCATTCTTTAGAAGTTGCTTGTGTTCTAGAAAGAGGTGCAATGCCAAGGGAAAGCAGCTTTAGTGGCAGGCAGTTTTCTGCTTTATAAAAGGCTGACAGACCAACACGTTGAGGTGACCCGGGCTGAAGTATTCAAGTGCCACAAGGAGCCAACCCCCTTGGATTTATAGCCAGGCAGCTAATTAAAGTCTAATTACATTTAATACCATTTCCAAATGTAGGTAAACATCCCAGTGCTATTGAACCAGTATTTGTTACACACTGAACCAGAAGGACAAAGCTAACTCTGTCCATTTAATTTCAAGAAAAGACGACTGTTAAGAATAAAAACCATAACTAGATGGTTTTTGAACATGTTACAGAATATACACGTACAGAATGCTCATATGCTTACCTTTTGTTTTTTCTGTCTGATATACTTTTTCATAGTCTCTTACAGCATCTTCATATTGCTCTGTGTCCATGTAACTGTGGAAAGAAACAATGGTTGACAAGGTGTACTTCACGGAAAATATCAAACGGGGTGCAGGTACAAGCTTTCTGGATGGATATGAATTAAGGAAAATATGTGCACTGGGCTTCAGGAAGAGCAATCATTAGAGGAACCCACAAAGGGTGACAGCTACACTGAATAGAAGCCTAAGCACCTGCAGTTTATGGGAAGTTCTGGCACAGGAGCCTGTTCTCTGGGCTCCAAGCTGAGACCGCAGTCTCATTTGGCAGCACAAGTTCTACTTTAAAGATCCTGATAATTACTTCATCCAACAGCAGGAACTAATACCAGCCAGTATCATTTCAAGGAAGCTGGTGCAGCTGTACACCAGCAGCCCTGTTTAGAAGCGACCATCCTGGCACCTCAGAGAGGGATGTGTCCCTGCCTGTTGGCATTTCAGCCCTGCTCACGTCTTACTGTATCACAACTACTTACTGTAATTTAGCAATTACTGAAATGGAGCTTCAGAAAAACACCGAAGGATGCAAATTAAAATGAATGCACAACAAGAAGGCTGCAGTAATGGTTTTGGTTCACCTATAGGCCAGGCAGCTTGGTCACAAACTAGGGAACCATCAGCACTGAGCAAAGGAGCAAATAAATGTGCAGTCAGAACAGAGCTTGATGACTTCTCTGGTTGGTGCCAAGTTACAAGACACACAGACCCAAACATCCTTTGTCCAACTCTCTCAGCCTCACTGTACTACATTGCAGTATTATCTACAGCAGAGATATGTACAGCCTCAGCTGATTTCCCTTATAGTGGAAACAGGCTGTCCCATTTCAAAATCCAGGGTGTTGGAAGCATGAAACAGATAAAATCGATTATTCCCAGCAACCTTTCTGAAACAGCTTAGAAAAGACAGGTTCTCTGGGAGAGAACAACATCTTATATTAGTCTTAAAAAAATAAAAAAAATAAATAAAAGGCAAGTCAAGCTTGTGAACAAATCTTGCCTGAACACAGCAACAGATAGACAGACCCAGACCCACACAGGCAGGACAGACTGCATACTTTCCTGTCTTCTTGGCGCCACGAGGAAGAGAAACAAATTCAGGGACTCTTAAGACAGAATCTTTTATTCATTTAAGCTTCAGATTTGTTACCCTGTCACTCAGTGCTGTGGGGAAGAGGTTCCTACCCACAAACCTGCTCAGCATGTCCATAATAAACATCTACTTACCATTGTGCTCTCCTCAAGTATGCTTTGATATATGTGTCATCCAGTTTTACTGCATTCGTGCAGTCATCTATTGCTTCTTCAAGTTTCCTAAGCTACAAAGTCAGACAGAAGTTAAGTGAATCCCAATCAGAAAAAAATCTGCTAATCAGCATTGTGATTTTAGGCAAGTGGAAGTTGTATAGAATTTTAGAAAAGTCTCACTGGTTTTGTGGATCTACATCTATGACATTTTTTCCCAGTCCCCAAAAGCACAGATCTTTTCTTCTCTAAGGAAAAACTAGAAGCTTGGCTAGTGAAGTGGTACAACTACATGGTGCTGCTCTACAAAATGCACTCAGAAACAAGGGGCTTCCTGAGAATGATCTGAAGAATAAGATGTCCTGGATTGAAATGGAATAAACTTAGAATTATTAAGTGATTGTTTTCAGACACAAACAACTACATAAAGTGTCCATTAAAGCTGCCTCTGATTTATCCCATTTCCTAGCTCTGAAAACAGCCCATTTCTTGACCAAGTATGAGTGTTGAAAAGCCCCACTGATCGAAGAGGGGCATCAACACAGAGACAGCTGAGGAGGAAACATGCCTAGAGGAAAAGCATGATGGAAATCTGAAGCACTGTCAAGCAAATGCTTCGCTGGAGAGTGCATTACCAAAATACAACAGCAACTCCAACAAAGGTGTAAAATTTTAAGTTACGTCAGATTGTTTTAGATCAAAAAATGAAGCAAGACATGATCTACAAAAAAAAACCAACACACAACCCTCATTACCAGGGAGGAAACAAATAAGGATGCCTTTACGCTGATTAAGATAAGGCCACACTACATTCCTCCACTCCCTCCCACTCTGTGGGAGTATTTGCCCAAGTATTTGAGTTTTGTTTCTTTAGGAGTCAACTTCTTTGGCTGTTTGGAACAGATCCAATTGTTGTGCAAGCACAAAAACCTGAAATATTGCCTACAGCACCAAAGGATCCAGCTGCCCCTGGAGCCAGAGAAGCATATGCTTTCCAAAAGAAGTGATGTGGTATTTATAAACTATGTGGTGAGGAATACAACCCGAGATCAAACGCTACCTGCGAGGTGACCATTTCTTACCTTTGAATTAACTGTACCCCGGTTGCAGTAGAGTTTGGCATTTGTTTTTATGTTATTTGGATCTATTCCTAGTGCTTCTGTATACAGTTCATATGCTAGTTTGTAGTTTCCTTCTTTAAATGCTTTATTCCCGTCTTCTTTCTTCGCTTTAAGTGCTTTGGCATTCTGAAAGAAAATACATCCCGGATAAGGACAGTAGGTCAGTGGTTCAGGAATATGAAACACCTTATTTTGCTGGGTAAGAGTCTTTAAACATAATTGTTCTAATTTGGTTTCAGACAACATAGCAGGATACAGAAGTCACAGACTTGCTACAGCAGCTGAAATGAGATGTAAGCATTTTGCTTTTCCCCAAAGAGAAGCGTTGAGGAAGAGCCAGTGCCAGTTACAGGCATTCTCTACATGAACAAAGTTTGCCTAATGTTTAAGATGAGAACATGCCAGTGAAATAATTTATGTATTTAAAAACAATAGGAGCAGGGCTTCACCTTTTGAGAGCTTATACAACTAAATAAATCTTTCAAAACTTGATTAAAGAACTACAACAGAGTAGAAAGGAGGGAAGGAACTTCCTGAAAGAAACAGTGTTTAAATACAGTCAGCCTGTAGGCACTAAATTAAATCTGTCTCAGAAGTTCTTGGAACTGATAGACCTAGCTTTATTGCCCCTTGATCAGATACAGAAACAAAAAAGAATGAAAGGAAAGCAGTCTTCAGAGAATCACAGTATCACAGCCTTCTGAGAAAGAGCTTCCAGCAGCTCACAGTTATATCTAAAGCAGCCCTTTCAGGAAGGACTTGACTCACTATTTGCTACTGGAGATCTGGGGAATGATTATTTTGAGGTACGAAGAAGGGATTGCTTCAGTAGAAGCAAGTGTTTGATTTAAAGAAAAAAAACAAACGTGGTAATTTTGCAGTCCTGACCTCAATGCTCACAACTTACACGGCAGGCAAGACACGCTTTCTCATGATCAGGAGCCATTCTGAGTGCCTGGACAAAGAACTGCACTGCCTTCTCGATACAGTCCTCATAATAAAGGCAGAGACCACGGACATACAGAGCATCTGCATTTGTAGAGTCCATTCGTAAGATGTCACTGTAAAAAACAAACATGGTAAAAAAGTCACCCTATTGCAGTTTTCTTCTGATCTCCAAAGCATTGCTCCTCTGCTGAGATATTTAATTAATTTATCAAGTCTGTGGCAGGGTTATTAGCTGAGCCTAAGTACAGTTTCCCAGTACAATTAACTGAACAGGGGATAAACTCAGGCAAATTTCCCCATCACAATTTGCATTAAGGGATTTTATTTATTTATTTATATATATCCCCCATCCATTTCAGGTGGTGAAGTATTAGTAGACAGGACATACCACCAGCTGTTACACAAGTTGTAGGCTTTAAAGATGCTCACCTTGCTACAGACTGTGCTTCTGGGTAGCGACCCAGTAGTGCTAAACATTCGGCCTTGAGGATTTTGAATCGGTGACAAGCAGGAGCAAACTCCAATGCACGATCCATGCAAAATACAACCTGATGTGAGAAAAACATGAATGTGAACAAAGCAAAGATCCAAAGGCTTAGTTTGAAGGATTGCCCCATTGCCACACTTGAGATTCCGTGTTTGTCTTTGAACAGGAAAATAAGTGTGCAGACAACTCTTCTGCTGGATGTATGTACTTCATTAAAAGTCTTCTTTATGAGCATTTTTTTTTTTATTATTTTTTAAGGGCTTTGTGTTTAAAGGTCTGTGGCCCCTGCTGTGTTACTACACCACAGCACTATACAGAGGATTCGAGGAACACCTGTGCAAGTTCCATCCATTTAACCCTTCTGAAACTGTGGGCCCCAAAGACGCAGCCAAGGAAGACAATTCTGCCCCTGTTTTCTGCATTAGAAAGACATGTGGGAGGGACAGAAATTCAATAGATTGAGACAGTTTGGACTGGACAGAACACAAAAAAGTACAGTGCAAGGCCTGATCTTACACTGGTCTGACTGCAATGGGCAGGGTGATCTAATAGGTCTTTTCCATCTCTGCCTCTCTGGTGGGGACATCTGCATGAGAACAGGGTCATTGTTCCACCAAGGTTCATCTGCTTTCCCGGCCCGTGACATCACGAGGGCCCGCTGTGGGAAGCACTGTGCTCCAGACTGAGAAGCCAAAGGCTTCTGGGTGAGGAAGAGCAAGAGCAGCTCCAGAAACAAAGATCACATTTCATGTAAGCCTTCCCAGTGAAGCAAGACAGTAGAATTAAATTATTAAATGCAGTTACTGACAAAACCTGTATCAAATACTTCATGGTTCCACTCACCCTACAAAGCCTGAACCAGTCACCCTCTTTGCTTTTCGTTTGTTCAGTGCTATGAGACCATGAGCTCTGCCATTTTCACAGATACTACAGTTCATGGCCCTCCTTCAGCAGCTGAAGTATGTTGTACAGCACCTCCCATCAGGACGCAGCTAGTACTGAGCAGGGGGATTAGACGTACATCTGGCCTGAACTGGCCAGGTATGATATTTTCTTAATGCTACAGGAAACAATCAAGTCAATCTTACCTTTCTGAAATCCCGTTTCTCAAAATCCACTTCAGCTATTTTTTCATATTCTAGCACGGTACTGGCATTCTTTAGCTGAAAGACAGCAGAACACAGTAAGCCTTGCAGGACAGTCACTGGCCTGTAACGCCACCAAGCACACAAGTGACCAATCCCTAAAGTGTTGTTGGAGCAAAAACTTCTGCAGACCAGGAAACAAGAATGCAGATCACAAGAATACTTCTGCCAGCATTAAAATCAGTACGAAATCATGGCACCCAACTGGTAGCCCAAGAAAACGTACACTTGTGAATGAGACACAAAAGAGGTGGCAGCCTTCTATATGCTGCTTCATCCATTTCCATGCTCTCTTATCACCATTCTTCCCTAGTTTTCTCTTTTCTTAGCAGAAAAGCATGGAGGCTATCATGCACAGAAGTAAACTATGCAACCTGTCGGTTTACTGGGAAACAGAGACTTCGACACCACCTCATTTTTTCATTACATCACCCAATCCTTACTAACCATGCCCGTGATTCCACCTTGCAAATTAGAAGCAAAAGACCTGCCAGTTCAATCCATTTCCTTCGACAGCCCCATCTCCCAGGAGTATTTCAGCTTTCAGAACCTCTTACCTCTTGCTGTGCCTGAGTATTCTTATGATCCAGTTCTAAAACTCGTTGAAAGCAGCGGCTGGCAGCCATGGCATTCCCTAAGGAAAGATGGCACTTCCCTTCCCGTAGATGGCCCTGAGAAGACAATTAAAAGGGAGTTGCAAGAGCTGTAATAGGAGGAAACAAGGGCATTCAGACGTGTACCAAATATGAATTTTTCCCACGTACCCGTACAAAGCTGTCATCCAATCTGACAGACTGCTGAGCATCTCCCAGTGCTTCTCGGAATCTCCCCAACATCATGAGGGTGGCAGCTCTGTTACCATAATAACTGGCATTGTTGGGACAGGTATCTGGAGAAAATGTAAGAGCACTGAGTGTAATGTAAGCAGCATACTCAAAAGTCATTGTTGGATTCAAAATCCTTCCCACTTCATGACACCTGAGTGGCCTATGACGGTGCATGAGGGCTTAGAATTGCAAATCAAACTATTGCTCCTCAACTAGACACAGGATTTAACTCATATAGAGCAAAAATTTGTGGCACTTGGCCTGGCAGTACCGATAACCCTGCATTGGGACAGAAAGCTGGATTGTTTCTTGCTAAAAATATCTAGGGTAAAGGACAAGCAAAAAAAAGCTGCAAATGACCCACATGAGCACTAACTTGCATTATCAACCTGGTGAAGTTTTGCAAGGCAATTAAAGCCAGCAAAAAGCTTCCATCCAGCATGTGCTGTTAGAAACCCTGCTGGTGTATTTGGAAATCAATAACCAGCTTTGACTTTTAGACACTATTCAGCAAAGATCATCATCATCACCAACTGCTCTCACCTATGGCTTTTGTGTAGTAGTTGTACGCTTCAGTTGTAATCTTTCTTGGCGTAGTATGCAGTTTCCTTGTTCCTTGAATGATTCTGCTTCTCTGAAAGGAAGTAAAACACAAGGGACAGAGCATCAGAACACATTCTGACCAAAACAAGATCCTGATCCCCAAGCAATCTTGTTACAAGCTCTTCAGCGTTCCGAACACTTGTAGCTGGTTGCTGCAAGATTTACTCTGTATGCACTGCTCATGTAGAAAAGAGCACACCACATCCTTCTGGCTGTCTGGATAGTTCAGCACTTGACTAGGGCTGTGAACAGGGACACAACCAACTCAGCCGAGCATTACAGGTGTGCAATAGCAGTCCAACCACACCTTTGGACAACCTTCCTTCAGTCGCCTCTAGAGCTGAGCAAAAATTCAGGTGGATGTGGTTAACCAAGTAGCCTACTTGCCTAAGCGATGCATAACCTTAGTAGTCATCAAAGTCAAAAAACTGAGTGTTATCTTTCAGAAGTAGCCCCATATTGAGAAGCAGGGCCAAGAACAATTTCTACATTCAAAAGACAGCTAAATAGAGGAGAAATACGGGCACAAGTCTCAAGGAGAAGCTTGGCACTGCCTTGGCAACAGGTCCAGAAATAGTCCTCACACTCAAGAGCAAGCATTTGCAGAGATAGGACATTTAGAAACACACAACATATGGTTTAAAGCCGCATCCCTTAAACTCTTGAAAGCAGTTTCCCCTAATGGAAATTAAATCCTTCCCTATCTTCTACCTTCATTTTAGATCAGCAGTCTGAGAGAGAACTCGTACCATGGTGTTGTGACGTTTAATTCAGTTTTACTGAATCAAATTCAGTGATTTAATTCACTCACTTCCCTCCTAGACTCATGTGTCAACATGACGAGACCGGCTCAAAAGCGGCATCGCCATCTCCAAGACGCAGCAGTCGCTGCTCGTGCCGTGCCTTTGAGCCTCCACTGCTGTAGCCAGAGCAACAGGCACTGTTTGTCCGCTGCCTGGAGCACTTGTACAAACAGAACTCTGTCCCCAAACATCAGGGCTAGGACTAGCTCAGGCTCCCTGCTCAGTGCCCTACCAGGGGTGCAGCCGGCACATCTACGAGCCCCAGCAACCAGCGGCGAGCAGCCCAGCCAAAGTCATCTGCACGGGGCAATGCACATATCACGAGAAGTACAGTTGAAGCTGACCATCACAGGTCATCCTACTCCTCTTTGAGGGACTGCCAGCTGATCTGAATATAGCCTTTGCTGAAGCGACGAAGCAGAGGCCAAGGAAACTAAAATAGCCGGGTGCACGGAGCGGAGTTGCGCTTGCGGGCTCAACCACGGGCGGCTTCCAGGCTGTGCCGAAATGCTTCAGCATTTTCTTGAGGGAAGGATCCAGAAGAGAAGGTGTCTCTTTGCACCACTTATTGCGGCAAAGCTATTTACAGGGAAATCCAGGGTAAACAAATCCAAGCCAAACCAGAGAACACAGGGACAAGAGCGAGGAGTCGCAGGGCTTTTTATACACAACTGCTTTCATCCGATTCCAGAGCAAGCACTGGCGCATCAACTGCTCGAGAGCAATTCTGATGCCTGAGGAGCTTTATTTTGGTATCTGGAACTACAACTCTAACAGCCAAAGGCCCGAATCAGAGCAAGTCTCCAGCCTATCAGGTGCTATAAACACGGAGATAATCTTTCCCTTTAAAATTCTAGGCTGATCTGTCACATATGGTATAACGTAAGCGATCCAGGTCTTCGTTTCTGTGCACCTTTACAAAATTCAAAATGAGATGCAGCTTCGGGCAAGTTTCAGGACAGGGCTTTGCCCAGGGGAAGCAAAGACTCATCGTTGATAAATCTTATCCTTAGGAAACCTAACAGGACAGAAGCCGACTGTCTTCACAGAAGGCTGTAGCTGCAAAGCATTCAGTGGAAAAGCAGCGGGGGGCTTACTGTGCACTGATGCCATCCCATTTCTCTGCGCTATCGTGAGCAGCCTCTATCAGTACAGAAAACAAAGATGGGAAGGAAGGCTGCATTTTAACAAGCTGCCAAAATCAGAGACCTGAGGGTGCTGAGCAGGTCTGATAAGAGTCCACCACCGCTTTGCATTTCTATTTTGGAAGTACCTAGAGATCGGAGCATCACGTGGGAGCTGCAGTTATCTGCTGGGAGCTGCGCTCCCTACGAAGCTGCCAACCCAGTCTCCTCTCCAAAAGGGGGAAAACGCTGCCACGGCCCCGCAGCGACCGCAGGGCACGGCTCGGAGAGGCAGCGCGGCACCAGCAACGCTCAGCGAGCCTACTAGGGAGAGAACAAAGGGAATTGTGTTGCAACAAGTTCACATGTTTTTAACCTCATTGAGGCTTGCCATTGGCCATTCCCACACAACCGCCTCATGCAAAGGGTTGTTTTCACAGAAACAGCACAGTTTTGCCAGCTGGCAGAACAATAGACACAGGGAGCTGCCACTCCGAGGGCCTGGGGGGCCGCAGCTCCGGTACGTGATGTTGGCTTTCGTTTTTAAGTTTCACTCTCAATTACACTCGCGGCACGGGCCAGACGCACCCCTCCGGTAACTCTGTTGATGTCAAACAACGGAAACGCAACGTAATCACGCTGGCATGTTTCAGTGCAGTAGGATGAGGAAGGAAGAGGGTGCCAAAGAAACGGGTCGGCGCAGGGCTCAGCGGATCCTCTTGCCACGGCTCCTGAGGTCAGCAGCACGGCGCTGCACGAAGGCTGGTAGGTGATGTCCTCCTTCGTCCGGATGGAGAAGTGGCGTCCCTCCTGCTCCCCTGCAGGGCTGCTCTCAAGGTCTAGAAGCCATTATGGGCTTGCTGCATGGATGTGTCTCCTAATCGGTGGGGCTCATGCTTTGTATGATCAAAAATGGGTCCAACAAAACCTTTTTTATTGACTATTACACATCAAGCACTTCAAAATGCAGTGGAAGAAAATAACCAGCAATTCTGCTCTACCCTGGCAGTGAGAAGTTTAACCAAAAGACTTTGTTTCTGTACTTATAAACGGGAAAGGAAATCACAGATCCCGTTTACATACCTTCACTCAGAAACTCCTCGTTGTATGGTCTAAAGAGAAGGATGAAGGGTATTAATGGCAGAGCTCATCTCTCTGAGCCTCTGCAGTAACCTGCTTAGCCGACCAGCCCCTGATTCATAAGTCTTTCAGCAATTTTACCTGTCATGTCAGAAGGAAGCACTGCCTAAGAGCTGGAGGGCTGGCTGCCAGAACACCCCGTCTGCCAACAAACTGCTGGGAAGAGTTGGGAAAATGGGAGAAAGAAAACAGATGCAGAGCAAAACCAACTCTCACAAAGCACCAGCATTATGAAATGCTAGAAAAAACATGCGAATACAAGAAATACTCACTTCTACTCTTTTTTTTTTGGTCTGTTTCCCTTTTATGCCTTTATTTTAGCACAGATTGATAGACCAACAAGTCACAACACCTCAGCTACCTGTGGCAGAAAGGAAACATGCAAATATCTCTATTGCTCACATAGCTTAAAGCTTCATGATGAAAAAAGATGATGAGAGGAGAAAAAAAATTCCTCCGCAGCACAAAGGCAAAGCCAGTCGCTGGAAATGCAGAGCTTGTGGTCTGAGATCCTAGACACAGAAGAGAAGCATCTCGCCCCAGTTGTGCTCCACTGACATAGAAAGCACACAGAAAACAGTTCTTGTTTACCACTTGCCATAACAAGAAAAAATGCAGATCTCCTGATATCACTGGTAATTGTTCCAATCCAAACAGATGCTGCAGCCTGAATGAGATCATTCTGCATCTCGCACTGATGTAGGCTGCATTCCCCACTTGCTACTTTTGAAACTGAAGAAGAATCGTGCTTTGCTAAAAATACGCCCCAGGCTGAATGGGTTGCTTTGTTCGGAGTGGGTCGTGTCTTCTCAGGGCCTCTCCACATCGAACGCCAAAGACAGGGAAGAGCCACCCTGAGGACCTCGGGAAGAAGCTGGTCTTTCATTGCTTGCGTGCACCAAGGGCTCACAGGGAGGGAACTGTGTGTTGTAACTCTCCCCCCGTGAAACAGTCATTTTTTTTTTTTCTCCCTTTTGTAACATTTGTCCGATTCTTCTCCCGTCACCCTGGAAGACCTGCTGTCGAAGCAGGCAGCAGCCACCCATCTCTCATGCTCCTCTGGTGCACCCAGAGGGTGCCACCACCACCCTCCTGCCCCTCGCCACGCCGGCGCTCGCTGCCTGCCTGGTGGGAGAAGGAGCCGTCACAAGGCTCCCTCTATTCCCCGTGCCCTCTGCTGAAAGCTCAGCCCCTGCTCGTTCGCAGAACAGCCGAGCTATGAGAAGCAGCCAGCCCGCGCAGCAGCGACACAATCCCACGTTTGCCTAACAACTTCTGCCTCCTCCTCAGAGCTCGCACACGCGGCCCCCACGCGAATGCCGATTGCGGCTTCCACCCCTCCTACTCCAGCTCAGAGGGAAGAACACGCAGACCTACCTTGCAAGGCACCTCGTTTTCCTAAACCACCGGGATCTGAAGTGGAAGCACCTCCCAGACCCCGCTCCTACACTAATATAGGGGTACACTCACTCAAAGCCACGCCATCCAGCTAAAAATTCCCCATTTCAGCAGGCAGCATGCTCGGTACCTCTCAGTTCTCACAATCATTACTTCATCTCCTGCCTCCATTACAGAAGAGACACCAAAAAAAACCCACAAAGTAGGATTTAAGGAACACTATGAAATCCTATTAGAAAACTCAAGTATCTCAGGGTCACTGGGGCATTGTCCAAAACCAAGAAACCCAAAGAAATCCCAATTTTAACCGGGCCAGCTTCTGCCCCATGGACAGCCATGAGGTGCCTTGAGCCTGGCAAATCTGTCAGGCCTCAATTTCCATGGGGATGCCCCAAACCGAAAGGAACACACCTGCCTTTGCCAAGCCATCCTTGCAGAGGCTTCTTCCTTAATAGCACACGGTGCCTCTATCCCGCAGTTTCCTTGTTGAAATCCAGACGAGATTCTCAGCTGTCAGATATTACTCAGCTGCTTGGGTAAAATAAGTTTGGTGATCTCAATACAGTTCACAGCAGGCAGATGTCTAGAGCTTAAAATTAGCTGTCGTATTTGCCACTGGACATACTATACTCTCCCCTCCCTTCTCTCAGGGCTCCAAAGGGAAGCCGAACACTAAGTGAGCCACGGAGATGTTCAGACAATAAATACCTCTCCGTGGGCTTTTCCAGGTTAGGTTTTCACTTTGCAACTGGGGATTTTGAGGGAAGGGAATGTCTAATCTCATTAGTAGTGTTGGTGTTTTCTCTCTGGTGTGTGAAGGAAGATTGCAGGGGCAAAAACAGGCCCCCAAATGCAAAACAAAAAAAATCACCTGTAACATATCCTGTGATCATCTCCCGGGGCTGGACAAGTCTCACGCTGACCCTATTGCAGCAGAGACCAGAAGGGATATAGAGCAGAACAGCAAACCACACAGCGCATTTCCCTGCACATCAGCACCCCCCATTGAGCAAGGAGTGGGTTTGCTACCAGCTGCGACGGATCAATGGGAATGAAGACATTGACTCACGGCGTGTCCCAAACCAGGGAAATCTCAAGTCTGCGTGTGCTAATACCTGGGGAGAACTTGAGTCTGCGTGTAATAACCCTGTATGGATCCTGTAAAGGCTCACCAACTGAAACACAAAATAGGAAGAGCTGCCTTGGGGCCTCAAGTCTTCCCGCAAGAGTGGCCATGAGCAAAATCATTAATAATCAATCCAAAGAGAGTACAAAAAAAGCCATGCTGTCCTCTACGCACGCCCCAGAACGTTCCCAATACCCGAGGACAAACTCGGATGAGGAAGACCGAAAGCCACAAGCACTAAAATATGCCACAAGCAGAGAGCAGGAGCGAAGAAATGAGCCAGTCCTCGCCCCGCAGCTGCGAGTGAAAACAGCCAGATGAGTCCTGAACTTTAATTACGCGGTTATGTAATGCACCTTGCGAGCAGAGCTCGGTATTAACCTACTTCATACTAATGGCTCAATCATTTCTGGCAGGGTCACACCAAAGCCTTCCTGGAAACCCACAGAAGGGTCTAGAACCAGCTAGAGATCGCTTTCTTCCACAAAGGCCTGAGTGAAGGAAGCCAGCCAGCTGTAAGAATTACACGGGAAGACGACCGCATCTACAGCATCATTCACCCCAAAAAAGGCTGTCTTGAGATAAATAAAGGCTTGAATTGCTAGTACTGAGCATCTTCTTCAGGCTGTACGCAGCATCTACCTAATTCAGAGTATTCAAATACTCTGCAAATGTATGGGAGCCTAAGCATCGATGCGAGGAGCCTCTGCAGTTCCTCATATTATCCTAAGATCATAATTAGGCATTAGTAAAATAGGCTGGATTTACAGCCTGGGAAAGTCGAGTGCCTATTTGCAAGCAGAACAGGAATACTGGAACAGACTATTCCATCGCTGAGGCTGATCCACAAACAGAGCCCCTCCAGCCAATTCATCCCCCAAAAGTCCTGGCAGCACTCCCTGTAAAAGCACTCAAGTAAAGGCATTATTCACGAGGAGCCCGAGCAGGACGCAACCCATTTCACGTAAAATAGCAGCGGAAAGATTCGTACTAATCATCTACACCTGACAACCTCCAGGCAACATCTGTTGGACTCACCAGTGACCCACATTTAGCCGAGGTCTGAAACCTTTCTGACTTCTGCACCATTTACTTTGTGTGGCAAATTTCACGTTCATTGTTGTATTAAGGTTAACTATGCTTTCCTGCTGAGGCATCAACATATCTGAAGTCTGCAGCAAAAGCACTGTAAAAGCAGCGGTCTGCACAGATCATTTCACAATATTTTCCAAATGGGTTGAGATACCTCTTTTTAAGAGGCTTCTGCATCCTCCAACGCTGAAGAAAGAGGAGAAAGATCCAGTCTTAAACACGGGCATCGGACAGAACCTCGAGCTGCCAGGAAGATGACAAGGAAATTCTCCCTGGCAAAACCCCAGCAACCCCCAGCTCTCAGATCCCAAACTCTCACATCAGCTGGGCCAAGGGAAAAGCAGCTCCCAGGGGTTAGAAACCTTCAAAATTTAGAAAGAAAAGTGACTTTGGGGAGATGGACCAGCCCCTGACTGCACAGCTCGGGCCCTGCCCACCAGCTGCTGCCCTGCAGAGGCAGTAAGAGCACCACTATCTAGCAGATAAAATTAATACGGTTACATCAACCCTCTTGTATAAGGACCCTCACAACTTGTGCGGCCGCAAACAATAATTATCCTGTGACCACACTCTATTCCTGTCCCTTAAACAACTTGTGAGTGAGCCACTCAGCGTGTTTACAGCTGTTTCAGTGCATTACAATCATTCTGAAATACTCCCTGCTTTTGCCAATTTCATTATCTTAATTAAGCCACAGAGAACAGAATCATGCGTTCAGACAAGGGTTAGTCCTTTAAGCAAAGTATCCGTAGCGTGTCACACTGTAATTCCTAAAGAGAAGTACAAAACACAGAAACCCTCGATGCTAACTTACAGCAAGTAGGGGTTTTCATTTATTTTTGCCGTTTTCTGATAGAATCTAGCACAGTCACATCATAAAGGCTGTATTATACCAGGTTCGAGAGTATGTTTGCGTGTGCCCGTGCAGCCCTTACACAGCTCAAGATGCTTTACAAACGTTAGGCACCTAATTAAGCCTGCAACGACTCTCCCTAATACACCAACTATCACCCTAATTTACATGAGATCAATCGAGACAGAAGTTAAGCAACTTATGTAAGCCTGGAAGGGTCGCACAATCAAGAGACTAACGCACAGGAGATTCCTGACCCCAAGAAAATCTGCTCTGACTGTTTAAAGCCTAAACTTTCCAACCAAACAAAAAGAGAATAACTGCCTGTAGAACGTCATCTACTCACAGCTGGTTTTATGTCATTAAAAGAGAAATGATATCCCAGAACGACAAGAGAGGAAACATTGTGAGAGCACCTCCAGAAGCACAGAGGGACTGCTTGAAGGGTGGTACTGGCCTTACCATGCCAAGACAACCCAAGATGACCTAGCCTGGCCCTGTTCTTCACTGCTGAAACTTCCCTTCAAGGCAGGACAAGGACCAAACGCTTATCTCCACGACCACACTCCTGCAATGAAAGTCAGGGAGGAGGAAGGAAGGGTGGTGGTAGAAGTCACCGTAAGCTGACAGTGCCTTCAGCATGACTGTTCCATTTGGATGTTTTTACCATTTCAAACATCACGTTTAATTAGCCCGGAGGAACGAATCTCACACAATCAGGGCTTTCCCAACTTTACGGGCCGTGCAATTTGTCAGTATCCTATGCACAACGCACGGGTGCCTCTTCAGCAAGATTTAATTGAACTCCTCAGAATGACATCACCAGGAAGCTCGCTCCCTCCCCGTGCTGCTCCCCAAGCCTTCAATTTCTGACAGTAAATAAGCAGCGCAAAACACCTCGGGCCATCAATACTATTTTTGAAGATTGTATTCCTCAGAGGCCACTTTCGGTTTTGTTTCTCCTTATGATTTTATCAGCCGCATAATTTTCTGGAACAATTGCCTCACCTGCCACAGAAGGAGCTCTCTCCTTCCCAGCTCCCCGGGAGATAACAGACTGCCAGCTTGAAATGCTGCAGAACCAGCAGAGTTTCCTAGACGTTGGACTTTTCCCATTTCATTGCCTGCAGTGCCTGCAACACTCAGCTGCTGGCAGGAACGAGATCGCTCGCTCTTGAGATGAAAATGTGCAGCCAGAAGACAGGCCGGGATTCCTATACCTGCCCCAGCCGACACCACTCCCCTGGGCACGCTGAACCAGACCGCTTCAGAAATAAACCAGCTACTGGAACTTTTAATAGTCACTTGGAGGGCCTCTTTAATCACGTTAACATTTTCAGAGCATGACGCTGGCCTACAACTGACTTTTTTTTCCACCTTTCCATTATGTCCAGCAAAACAGGACAGTGTAAGAACTGCTTTACCATGTAAAGATTTCAAATGCTTACAGGCCAAGGAAGCCAGGTACAACACAACTGCTAAGACAACAGACACAGAAGAAGCAAAGAATGCTCAAACCTAAGGGTTTGAGGCCGCCCCTTCCACAGTTGAATCATTCCTTCCTCATCCTAGCGAAAGCTTTCTTTAGGAAATTAACCGGCGTGGCCTCAAGACAGAAAGGATGTTATGGGTATCGCAAGACACTCGAGCTGCAGTTGACTGAAGACAGGAGGACTGAAGGCTTCGCTCCAGGAGGTGCGGAGAGAGAAAAAGGCTGGTGGGGACGGGAATCCTGGTGGGGACGGGAATCCTGGTGGGGACGGGAATCCTGGTGGGGACGGAGGCCCTAGGAACTCGCCCAGGACACGCAGCCGAGAGCTGCCGAGCTAACCCGGCACCTAGCAGCCAGCACAAACCCCTCGCTGCAGGTGCCACAGCTCCGGGCCCAGCGGCCACCACCTCAGAGCCCCGGCTCTGAGCCCCATCCCCGGCTGTGCCCCGTGTGGGACCGAGCAGGGGGGCGGGTGAAGGGTGAAGGCAGCCCCCCACTGCCCTGCTCAGCACCAGGGCTGCCCCCCGAGCACCTTGCTCAGCACCAGCCCGGGGTCCAGCCAGGAGAAGCCCTGCACAGAGCCTGCACCCCCCCTTCCTCATCTTCCTCTTCCTCATCTTCCTCCTCCTCCTCCTCTTCCTCTCGCCCCACACCCACGGAGCCCCGCACCCCCCCCCCACCCCTTCTCCACCGTTTCCCAGAGGAAGACCCGCGGCCTTCCTCGCCATCCTGAGGGGAGGAGGAGGAGGATGGGGCCGGAGGGCAGCGGCCGTACCTCCTCGCCTCCTCCTCCTCGCTCTCGGGCTCGCCGGCTCCCTCGGGCGCCGCCATGATCACGTCGCACTCCGCCGCCGCCATCTTACCGCCAGGCCGGGCTGAGGAGGAGGAGGAGGAGGAGGAGGAGGAGGAGGGGAGAGAGAGAAGGGGGGGGGACGGGGATGGGAACGGGAGGGAAGGGAAAGGGAGGACGGGGCCGGGCGCCGAGCCGGAACGGGCGGAGCTGGAGGCAGCGGGGGGGGTGCAACGGCGGCGCCGCCGCGAGGCTGAACGGGGCTGGGCTGGGAGAGAAGCGGGAATGGGGAGTGGGGGGGAAGCCGGGGGGGGGATGGAACCGGGGGTTTGGGAGTCGTGGAGGGAGGGGGGGGCTCAGGATCGCTGCTCCGTGCCCCGCCGCCGCTGTGTGCTCGCTGCGGGGCTCCGCAGGGCTCGGGCTGGCCGCGGAGGGCGCTGTGGGCTGGGCTGGGCTGGGCTGAGCTGAACCGAGCCGGGCTTGGCTCGGGGTGGCCGCGCCTCTTCCGCCGCTGCCGCCGCGCAGGTGAAGCGCCGGAGGGTCCCCGGTTTTGGGCTCGCAGGGCTGGCACCGTCCCGGTTGTGCTCCCCCTAACACCACCCTCACCCCCCGGGCTGCCACTTTGGGGGGTAAAAGGGGTTGGAAATTAGCGCTGAGGCCCATTCTCGGCCGGGGAAAGCCTTCCCCCCCCCCCTTCCCTGAGGAGTGTTTTGTGGTTTTGCAGGGGGCTCCGGAGCGGAGCTGAGGCGGCATGGGGAAGAGCTGCAAGGTGGTGGTGTGCGGCCAGGCCTCCGTGGGGAAAACGGCCATCCTGGAGCAGCTGCTGTACGGCAACCATGTGGTGGGTGAGTGGCAGCAAGGGGGCTGAAGGGGAAAAGGCCCTGACTGGGTTTGGGGTGTGGGGCAGCCCGCTTGCTGCTGCCACGACCCCCAAAAACCCCAGCACCAGGGCAGAAAAAAGGAGCAGCAGTCCACCCCAGATCACCCATCAGGACAATTCTGTAGGCTGTGTAGTGTCCATGGCCCCCAGGTCACCCTGGCCACCTCTTGGCAGGTTCTGAGATGATCGAGACCCAGGAGGACATTTACGTGGGCTCCATCGAGACGGACCGCGGGGTGCGCGAGCAGGTGCGCTTCTACGACACGCGGGGCCTGCGGGACGGCATGGAGCTGCCCAAGCATTGCTTCTCCTGCACAGACGGCTACGTGCTGGTCTACAGCACCGACAGCAAGGAGTCCTTCAAGCGCGTCGAGCTCCTCAAGAAGGAGATTGACAAGTCCAAAGACAAGAAGGAGGTGAGCACCCGCGATCTCCCCAGGGGAAAGGGGTTGCGGAGTGGGGTCTGCTCCCTTGTTCTGTGGTTCTTGCCCAGAAAGTCTCCTTTCCCCTGGCTTGTCACAAGGTGGTGATAGGGAGTCCTGTTCTGTAAGACCCGTGGTTGTAACTGGCTGCTGTGCTGGGATGCTTTCAGGGGTGAGCTTTTGCTCTGTCACTGTGATTGTTCCACAGCCAACGGGCAGGAGGGCTCTGTGCCGGAGCAGGTTTGTGGATCTCTTGCTGATGGTTGGGGACAGGGCCAGCTGCTTTGTTTATTTCACGAGGGGAATCAGTCTCAAGGGCGTTTACAGAGATCTCTCTTCGGCCTTCTAGACTGGGCACTTCTGCTAGCTGCTGCAGATGCTATGCCTACAATCGCTCAGTGGGGCTGGTTTGACACATAGACCCTAACAGAAGGGGCATTAGCTGAAGGACATGGCCTGGCACTAAGGGTGCTGCCAAGCAGAGCCGGGCAGCACTATTCAACTCCGCATTTGTTACTTACAGGGATTCTTCTCACCCTTTTTTGTTGAACAGGTCACCATCGTGGTTTTGGGCAATAAGTGTGACCTGCAGGAGCAGCGCCGGGTAGACCATGACGCAGCCCAGCACTGGGCCAAGGGTGAGAAGGTGAAGCTGTGGGAGGTGTCTGTGGCTGACCGGCGTACGCTGATCGAGCCCTTCATCTACCTGGCCAGTAAGATGACACAGCCACAGAGCAAGTCTGCTTTTCCCCTGAGTCGCAAGAACAAGAGCGGCGGGTCTGTGGATGGCTGAGACTCGTCTTTCCCTTCCCTTCTCTCAGCACCTCCTCTCCCTCACCTCTCTCCTTCCCTTGCACGTACCTCCTGCTGAATCTGTGTGGTGTTGTGGAGCCTGCAGGAAGCCTCGTGGCATGAGGAACAGGCATCCCAGGGCTGGGGATGGTCTTTGAGGAGGAGAGAGGTGACCCATCTCCCTGCACTGAGACAAGCGCTCCTTTCACTGCCCAGGCCCTGCCAGTGTTTGAGGTGCTACAGGAAAGCCAGGATTCACTAAGTGACACTCCTCTGCTCCCAGGGCACAGGCTGGCACCTGTGGGCTGCGTGCTGCCCTAGGGGAGATGCAGCACAAGGCTGGCCAGCAGGTTGAGATCAGCTCTGCACCTGAGTGCAGGCAGGCCAGAGGAAATGATTGCCCCTTTCAAGAGCAGCTCTGTCTTGTATTTACTGATACTATATAAGAAGAGCCCCTTTGTCCTCTCCCAACTAGCTTTGTGGTGCTACAGCTTTGTCTCAGATCACCCCTTACCTGGCCGTGCCCTCTGCTCCTCAATGTCTGGTGTAGTCAGTCCTTGGTCACGAGGAGCCTCCTGTCCCAGTGAATGCACAGCGCAGAGCAGGATGCTGTTCCTGAGGCAGGGTCAGACCTTGGCCCCACGTCTTTTGGTGCTCACATTTTAAAACTGCAGCCTTCTTACTGAGTGTGGACTCAGTCCTGACCTGCAAGGTGCTGGGACTGCGCTTAACCTGCACACCCAGATGCTTTAGGGCTGTGGCAGCTCTCACTGCCCGTCAGTCACAGCGCTGCCTCTCCTCTCAGAACCACCACAAGACAAAGGGAAGGTGGCCCAGTCCTGCCCAGCAACATGTTTCCCTTGGCTAGTCTGGATTTAGAGTAAAAAAAAAAAATAATGATGAGAAAGCCCTGGCTTGTTTATACTTGTTCCTTTTATTTACTGAGTAACACAATAAAGCAATGAGATTCAATTATCAAAATATTTTCCTTTTTTTTTTTTCCCCAACAGTTATAGTACATCAAAAAATATACAGTGAACATTACAGGAGGGGTACTGGCCAAGTCCCTAGAGTCTGTTTATTCAATTATTATTTTTTTTTTGAATCAAACTGTTCACATCACTCCAAGGTTATGTACAGAGGGGCACGCGTTATCGAGCGCTATGGACTATGCCCTACTACCTAGTACAGCATATGCTAAGTCAAAGGCAGTAAATGCTTTGGATAGCACAGGAGCAGGGAGGGATCTGTGGAGGTTGGAGGGGATGCGACAGAGGGAGCATGTTCTTAATGCAGCTTGTTGCAGTATTATTGTTATTTAGAAGGAATGGCTTTCAAGGGTTAAAGTGCCAAGTGTAGGAGTGTATCAGGACTCCACTGGTGGAGGGGGGTGACAGGAGCAGCCGCTGCTGGCTCCAGCACAGGCTTTTTTAGAACAAAATGCAGGGGAACAACCCCACGGGGTGCCCAGCAGCTCCTGTAGGCTGGAGCGTGGCCGCAGCTGCCTGCTCCCCGTGCTCCCGAGGCTGGTGTGCGTGCAGGAGGGGAGGCGCTGCCCTTTGCTGCTGGAGGCCTGGAGGAGAGCACAGTGAGATGGGTAGGGGTTGGCTGGAGCTGGGGTGGCCACAGGCTTCGTGGCACCGAGATGCTGTTGGAGCCACGTCCCTCCTGCCCCAGCTCCTGTCCTGGGGGACGTGGGGTCAGCTGTTGGTCCAGGACACGCGTGGGCTGTGGGACAGTGTCCCTGTCCAAGCCACTGCTGGGAGCTTTCTGCCCTCAGCTGCTCTCCCAGCCAGGTCTCCCCCCACCCCCAAGAACTCACCTCTGCCCCCATCTTCCCATACACAATCTCCCTTCCCCTCACCAGGTGTCCTCTTTTCCCTGGGGTGGAAGGAGATGCCCTGAGCAGATAAATCCATTCCCAGAGGCTCCTTTGCACTTCTGGCCTCTGTGGCAGGAGCACAGCAGTGGTGCTGCGGGGCAGTGCTGCCCGTGGTGGGAGCAGACGTGTCCTCCAGACACAGGAGCAAGGCTCTGTGCCACCGGGACCCGGTGGCTGCTCCCTCCAGTGCAGCAGTTCCCCAAAGCTCCTGTCTGTGAAAGCAGAAGTGTTTCAGCCCCGGGAGTTTCCTGGCAGCAGGTTCCTGTTCAACCTCATCCAAGGCCTCGTCCTGAGCATTGGTGGAGCACACTGGGCAAAAATCCTCCCGAAATCCACGTTGCTTATGGCCAAGGTGTCAGATAGGTGTGCTTGTGCGTGTGGATTCCCAGGTGTGCCAACCACCAGCCTCTTCCCCAAGGCTGGGCGAGAACACAGGCCTCATTTTGGGACGCAGCAGAGGTCTCTGAAGCAGCACCCAGGCTCGGGGACGGGAAGAGATGCCGGAGGAGCCGTCTGCACAGAGCTAAGTGTTGCTTCGTTTTCTTCCTGCTCCAAACAACACTCCCGGCTGTACAGACAGCGTGAGCACCAAAGTAAAAACGCAGACAGCAAAGCACAACGAGCAAGCTGCTCCCACGGGATTGCATAGATCGGGGTGGGTTGTCACTCCAGCGTAAGGTTCGTTTGGGTTGCAACTTTTCCTGCAAGTTTTCTATTTACAGCAGCGCGCCGGGAAGCCGGGGCGCTGCGGGTACAGTTTTCGGAGCAGGTCCTCGCTGGGCCTTCTGAGCACAGTGAAAAGAGAGCATCCGAGGGAGAGCCCCACGCGCAAGCTGGCGGTGCCTGCTCCTTCATCCCTGATTGTCTGGGCTGCCGGGGACGCCTTCGTTTTGGGGAGTCGTCAGAAACTCCTCGGAAGCTCCTAATGGGGACGGGGCTGGACGGCGAACGACGGCGTTACCTTTCACCGGAGAACCAAAAAAGTGCTTTGGGGACATTCACGCAGCCTCACAGCATCTCCCCTGAGGTAGGGGCAGGGTTGTCCCCCCCGGGGGTGGGACGGAGGCAAACAGCTGGTGCTGAGCAGGCTGGACGGGGCTCGGGGCCGTTCTCCAAGCTCGGGGTCACCTCCTTCCCACCTCGGGGAGCGCAAAGCGGCTGGCTCAGCTCTCTGCTCCTCGCGGGGCTGGAGCG